ATAGAGTTAAGACTACTTATAAAGTTATATAACAAAACTAAAAAAAAATGTCGTATGAAACTAGTTCACCACATCTAGTCAGTAAATTGTTTGTTTGTTGTTAAGCACAAAGCTACACGAGGGGCAATCTGTGCTCTGCCCACCATGGGTATCGAAACCCGGTTTCTAGCGTTGTAAGTCCGCAGACATGCCGCTGTGCCACTGGGGGTCAAGTCAGTAAATAAGTAACGCACATTTTGAACGAAAGTGATATTAATTAAACGATCTAAGTTTAACCATCTAATTGTTATTACCACATAAAACGTCGAAGTGTGCAACTTCACATTGTTTTTCCGTACTGAGGAAGATGTATAAATACCACGCTAACTCATACTATTAAAGGATATTCCAAATAATTAAACACATTATTAAGCACATTCACATATTTTCCTTCTCATATATTTGCCGTTTTATATAATAGAATTTTTTTAAAGCTTGAACATTGATGGTAAATAATCGAGAATATGATTTTTGGTTTGAATAATTAAAGAGTTTCAATACGAAGTTATAATACTGAACTTTCAAATTTATCCGTGGTTTTACGTTGTCGTATTATGAGGGCTTATTTATTCAGAAACGTCGATTGGTCTGTTTTTGTTATTTAGTGCAACTAGACAATGGGCTATCTGTGCTCTGCCCACTGCGGGTATCGTAATCCACTTTTTAGCATTATATACTCACAGACTTGCAGCTAAGCCACGAGGGGGGGGGGGGGGGGGGGGGGAGCAAAAGTTGATTAATTTCCTGATCTTTTATAATTCTGTTGAAGGCTTCAGAGAATTATGAAAAAATTACAGGATCGCTTCATAAGTGCTATATAAGTGTTTTCTGATGCGCAGAGACAAGTGTTGTTATTATGAAAACAAGGTAATATTCAATAGTGTTGCGGGGTAATAATTTCAAATTTAATCCATAGTTTTGATGAGATTAACTTTCTTCACAATTGTTGCCGACATTTTAGTTTTGTTTTCATATTGGCCTGTGTTATTAGACAAATTTTATATATCTATAACACGATATCCTCTATATACATATATAATAACCTACCCAAATATTGACTCAACACATATCGAAACTGAGAGATTATGATTTTATATTAGTAGTCTATAATAAGTCGTGACCTGGTTCAAACTTTGCGTGCTAGGCGTTATTCTCATAAGTAAGTGTTTCCAAGCATTTACATTTGTCTAGTTATTAAATTCATGGAGAAAATTGTCTTTTACCTCAAATCATTTTATTGTTCTATACTTAATTTTTTTTTTTTTGTGAAGTTTTTGCACAAGTTTCCAAAAGTTATTTTCAAAAACGCACTTTCTTCTTACTAAGCGTCCTATGATAACTTACATGTCTTTACTATAGACCAATTAGAATATAAATCTATGGCTTATCCTTCTGTTACAGTCTATCATCACTGTAAGGATCAGGCATAAATATATATATGTATATATTTAAATTCACAATGAAAATAAACGAAATAAACAACAACTTTTATCTTAAATATATCGTTTTATGATCAAAACACTCAAATACCCGGTGGCCTTAATGAAAAAAATATGAATTTTAAACGTTGAACCTATTTTCAATTTTAGAAGTTATTGAACAAGCTGCTTTAATTGAATCTTCAATCCCCAAGAGAGTTATTAAGGATGGCGTACTGTTACACGAATGTCACTTCTCGTAAAGGGTTTACATCGATTACATGTAAATTAATGCGTCCAACTAAATTCTAGTCCTTTTTTCTTTTCTTTTTTTAAGAAAAAGAACGAGGACGTTCCGATTGATAACAGCTTACTTTTGAAGCTATTTTTCAACTTAAGCCTAACATCTCATTATATCTATGTTGAGTACATGAAATCTTAATAGAAAGGTATTGAAGCACAGTAAAGGGTTAGATACAAACTGTAATATAGCAAAATATGTGTTGATTTTTATGTGGGCCATCAAACTGATAACCTGATAAATATAATGGTGAATGATGAGGAAATGATATGTATATATACAATGCGCTGCCGATATGCACTAATGGTTATTGACAGGGCTTAGGAAGACTACCAAAATACGTGTACGCTTTGCGGTAACTTTATCTATTTAAATAAGGGTGACCATATGTTCCAGATTTCTGGGGGCAGTCCATGGGTGAGGCATATTGTCCCTGAAAGAAAGAAAAAACCCTGAAAGTGCCCCTAGTTCGAAAAATCCTCCTCCCCCAATGCACTAATATTTAATTTCTTATATTATGAATTCTGCAGCAGAAATATATTAGAAATAAACATTCAATCAGTTTTTTATTGTTATTATTATTATTAGATTTAGATTGGGCCGAGCGCGGCTCAATAGTTTGTGTGTCGAACTGTGGAAAAAGAAGAGAGAGAAAAAAAAGCAATAGTTAAGTCCCACCATTCGGTATGACAAGAGTAGACCAACAGTTGGCGGTGGGTGATGTTGACACCTTCTAGTTTGTCACTTCAAAAGTAGGAATGGCTAGTGTAGACAGCTCTCGTGTAGCTTTGCGCTAATTTAAAACGAACAAAGCTATACATCATTATCGTATGATGACATTGGTGCATTAACCATAGCAACCTTGGTGCTTTGGCAATAGCAACCTTGAATATGTCATAAATCATTAACTTGTTATTTTTCAGAAGTGATGACGTAATATTAAGACGTGAGATTCTGTATGTATTTCACGTAAATGTTAACAAGTGAACAATGGATTGTCATTGTTATAAAAGCATAAATGAACTTGTATTTGGAATTACGATGAGTACGGGTACGCACTTTCGTGGAGCTGTCCCCGGATTTGGTTTACAAATATGGTCGCCTTAATTCAAACGTCTGGCTCACTAAATTCGTTACCCTTTTGTTTGGTTTCGATGTACAGACCTTTACCCTCCACTAATAACCTTGGGTATTTGGATAACATGTTACAATTAATTATTTATTATTATTAGTTGTTAATTTATTTGCTTCACCAAAACGTGAATTTCAGTAACGAAAATATGACGTAGATGCTTAATCTATTGTTTGATTCGCTACTTCTGTTGCAGCAGACTAGTTTCTCTGAACTCACAGCTCATTCGTGCTGCTCGGAAGAGTAAAATAAGTAAATAAATTAGGTCTCATATAGTTGTGGAATGTAAGGTGTTTGTTTGGTTTTGATGTAGATAAATCGAAAGAGAGAGAGAGAATAAGAGTTGAATGGGAAAAGATACCGACATACAGTTATATAACAATACGAGTTGTTTCAATTTAATTTCAAAAAGGAAGGTTCACTAATTTATTTGTGTCTTCCGTGGGGAAGCGGTAAGTTAATGTACTTACAATGATAAAATCCGTGGTTCGATTCTCCGCTATGGACACAGCAGATAGCTTAATGTGATTTTTCTCTAAAAACAAACAACCTAGCTTATTAATATAATCTTTAAAAGCAAATGACTGCGAAAGTGTAAAAAGAAACAAATACAACTTGTGTAGATTTACATATTGGTTTTCCGAATATTTTGATAAACTTTTAGCAACCAGCTGTAAGTACATTTGTGTTATCTAAATGATAACTATATTACGATGTATTCCTTGTTTTTTTATGTCAATTAAATTAGAAATAAATATTTTACGTATCCACTGGTTACAATAACACACATATATATATATTTTAATTAAAATCATATATTTGTTTTAAGAAATGCGCCCCCCCCCAGGGGCACAGCGGTATGTCTGCAGACTTACAACGCTGGAAACCTGGTTTCGATACCCGTGGTGAGCTGAGCACAGATAGCCCATTGTGTGGCTTTCTGCTTAACAACAACCAACCAACAACAATTTAAGAAATGCCCCCTAGTGGAACAACGGTATATCTGCGGACTTACAACGCTAGAAATCGGGTTTCGATATTCTTGGTGGGCAGGGCACAGATAGTCCATTGTGTAGCTTTTACTCAATTATAAACAAACAGTTTTAAGAAAAAATGATAAAGGACAATTCGTACATAACACGGGTAGTATCGATGAAGTGAAGGTCCGTATAAGAAGTTTCAACTCATCATATAGTATTTCGTTGACTTTTTACAAGAACATATTCCAGCAGTAGTAAAACTGTTAAATAATCACAAACTGTTTATTAAAATGGTACTTTTTTTCCCCTGTAATTGTGTAATCTGGTAACATTACTTCACAAAAATTAGGGAGGAATTATATGTTAAAGACATAAAATGTCTTTGTGATTGTATATGTTTAAGTTCTATTAGCTTTTTATCTTATTGTTAGAATTAATTTTTTTTCTCGAAAAACCATACCGAAGTAAACCATTATAGAATTGTAATTAAGTAAAAAATAATAATTGTATTTTCTTAGCGCAAAGTTAATTATTATTCTTGTGTTGTATATATAGATATTGTACTCTATTAACAGATTTTAGAACACTTAAATGTGGAATATTTTGAAAAATTTAGACCTTTAAAAACATATTTATGTTCTTTTCAAATCCAGTTTATTTTGCTCAGTTGATTTGAGTGTACGGTTTAGAAATCAAGTTTTACTTTTATTTTGAACTCCAAAATTATCTAATTTAGATAACGTTTAGTGTTTCAACAGTAACCACAATAAAATATCAATATATTTTAATTATTCGGAATTTTGTCTATAAATAATGAATATGACCGTGCTGAAATACTATCAAGCAATGCTACTGTCACCATTATAAAAAAATGTTATGTCTTTAAACTTGTTTTTTAAAAAAGTGTAAGTACCAAAAAAAATCCTTAATTCCTTATACTGCTGCTAACCTGTAAAAGTTGTTGATAAAGTAACACAAATTTACGTTTTGATTTTCAGATACCTTTGCAAGCGTAATAACAGATTTATGCAAATATCTCACTGTTTCATATCCTAATGTACGTATGTACGCTGTCCGTAAAGTGAAAGATCTTAGTATGGCCAGGTGGTTAGGGTGCTCGACTCGCAATCTGCTAGCCCTTCCAGCCGTGGGGGACTTATGCTGTTAGACCAGTCCCATTATTCGCTGGTAAAGGAGTAGCCCAATAGTTGGCAGTGGTGGTGTTGACTAGCTACCTTCTCTCTTGTCTGTTACTGCTAAATTAAGGACAGCTAGCACAGATAGCCTTTGAGTAGTGTTGAGCGAAGTAAAGTGGTTTAAAGTAGAAATTATCTAGATGTGAAGTTGTGAATTTTCAACAACTTTTTGTTGACAGTAAGTGCTTGATGACATTTGTACAAATACTATATAAGAAAATTCCATTTAGAGCAAATAAGTAAATACCGAACACCAAACTAACCTTTAATTAATTTTATGTGAATAGTTTTATCATTATATTGTTACTTTTGGAGTAGTGAGATTTGGTCATATTGATGAATTTACTGTTATGGAAAATATATATGGCAGTTGATATTTGTATATGTTTTTTACATGTTTTTGAAATTTTTATTTACTAGGTGACTATTATAGTCCAAGACAGAAATGACAGCCCACCTCGTTTCGAAAACGATTCATACAAAGTATCTTTGTTTGAAGACATTCCAGTAGGACATACAGTGACAACTATTTCAGCAACAGATCCAGATTTGGAAGGAGAATTGTCTTATTCTTTAGCGGAAACGCAGAAAATCCCACAGTTTCGGGTCGATTCTAGATCAGGAATTTTAATTCTTCTAGAGCCATTAGACAGAGAAATACAGGAGGTACATCATTTGGTCGTTCAGGCCAGTGATGGAGTACAGACGTCGAGAACCGAGGTCACCGTTACTGTAAGCAATAATATTTTAATCATATTTTCATACATTATTTCTGTTCTTTTTAACGCAGCCTTATAACTTATAAGCTAATAAAATATAATTATTTATAGCAATAATAAAAAAGTGAGAAAACACAAGCAAAATCAAATAAAAAATTAACTGCTTTATCAGACTATGCCATTTAATGATTTATGCACTGTTTTCAAGATTTAAGTAAATTAATGTTATTAGTTCATTTTCTCCATTTGTGTCTGATATGCTACATATTTAAAATTAGCAATTAAACATTTCGTAAATATTTTTCAATGTGTTATTATCTTGACTAGAAATTATTGCACATTTGAAGAATAGTGTACTTGCAACATTATCAGTTATTAGTAATATTTTATATATTATACGATAATTTAAGAAAAATGGAAATTTACTAACTATACAGCTTAGAGGTGTGAGCTGTACTACCGCTACTGCTAATCTGTATTGGGAATTCAAGTATATCATGATTTCGTCATAAAGTGTTGTGTTAAAATGATTTATTCTCTATGTCTTATTTTTCTTTACAGGAATCAAAGATAATTTATGAAATAAATAATTTTTGCATTTATTTAAAGTTGAGATCAGTGCAGTTGTAATGTATAAAAAAATGGCGTTAGCAATGTAATGCATTAAATCAACGACATTACTACCACTACGTGTGTGTGAAAAACTTGATATTTATTAAGTTTTTCACATCCAAGCTTTACAATATATATAATCAACCAACAATGAAGTAGTGCCTCATAAGAACTTTGTAAAGAAATTATTCAAATCCTACAAAAAAAAAAAAGGCAACATTAATAACATAAAAAAGAAAATAATAACAATCATAACAATAATGATCATAAAGAATTGGGGGAAAAACCTAATTCATAAGATTATATATAATAACAATATTGAACAATTCAAAAACAATATATGAGCAAACGATTGAGGACTGAATATTTATTTACATTTTTGGAATTTATTTTTTCTTTTGCTAACAACAAAAGACCATTTG